GGGGGGGGGGGGGGGTGTGAGGAGGGGCAGGGTGAGGTGCCCTCAGCTGTAGGCATAATAAATAAAAGCATTTCACTGTCAGTGTGTGAGGCCAGCCAGGTTGAGTTCTGCTATTTAATGTCTGCTTCTGCTCTCTTCAGAAACAGCCACTCTCGCAGCATGTCCTCCAAACAGGACACAGACTCTGACACACAGGAGCTCAATAACTCTAGCTGTAAATCATCTGAGAGAAGCCTTGCTGAGTGCCCCCAACACAACAACTCCATTGGTGTTGATGCCGCTACCAGGCAACCAGCCAAGCCCTCACAGATTAAGAGAAACCTCTCCTATGGAGAAAACAATGACCCAGCCCTGGAGCCTTCCTCTCTCCCTCCTCCTGACCCCTGGCTTGAGACATCCTCCACGTCGCCATCAGAACCCACGCAGCCAGGAGCCTGCCGGCGGGATGGGTACTGGTTTCTGAAGCTGCTGCAGGCAGAAACAGAGCGGTTAGAAGGCTGGTGCCGCCAGATGGACCAGGAGACCAAAGAGAACAATCTCTCTGAAGAAGGTGGGTGTTGTCAGCCACTGGGCCCTGCACCAGGGCAGCCTAGCAGCTCCTCCCTGGAGAAGGAGTTGTAACTGAGTCTCAGATCGGCTTTCTGCGGTTAAATTGCTGATAGCCCACAGAGTGAGGGTAGAGCATGGAGATGACTGTGGGACAAGGAATGTTTGGGTTTGGTTTTTTTGGGAAGGGTAAGGTAGCTTCCTCTAGCAGATGGGGTAAGAAATAATACTGTGGTGCAGCATAGAAGACTTTGGGGGGATGGTGCAGCTTCTGACCATTCAAAACTGCTAAAAGCTTAAATGGATCCCTTTCAGGGAGGTGGCAGGATCTTTCTCCCTGCCTTAACCTATTGTACTCAAGCGGGCAGGGGAAAGTGTAGTTGGCGGTGGGGCAGAACAAATGTGACTTCTGAGCTTGGTCCATCTGCTGCATTGGTGGACTTGTCTTCACAGCAAAGAGGAGGTTTCTTCATACAGGAAAGCTTCACTGAATTTGTACTAAATACACCAAAACCACATGCACAGGGAACACAGGGCCACTTGATTTTATTTGGTTCGGTCCCAGCTGGGCTTGTCTCATTATTATCAAATGAGTTTGCAAAACCTGTGCTGCTTGCAGAGAAAATCGTGCCTGTGGTGCGTACAGAGGGACAGAAGTGGGTCGCTGGGCTGCAGAGGGAGGGACCTTTGTTTTGAGTCTGGTTGACTTTTTTTGATACCTGAGAAAGGTGAAATGATGGTGAGACTCAGCTATAGCTCAGGGTCGCTGCTAGGGCTCGGGGGAGCTAATCTCTAATCCTATTGCACTAAGATGCTGCCCTGGCTGCCAGGCTGGACAGACAGTGCCAGGGTGCTCCCTGCCTCGGGGAATGCCCTCATCTTGCAGGAGTGCTCTGGCAAGAAAAGACACCAAGACCGGTGTGGCATTGGGTCTGTGACCCCTAAGAGCAGTCTCCTAGTAGATTCTGTAAGCAAGAACTTGGTGGGCCCGGAGAGAGGCCAGCTTACACTTGTGCCACCAAGATCCAGCCTAGGATTCTATGGTCTATAAACATTCAGAACTGATGTAGTAGGTGCAGCAGCAGACCAGGGAGGAGAGGGGGAATGGGTTCATCCCTGTTCACGGTGCAGTTGCATGCACAGTGGGTCTCTCAGCCCTGCCTTTAGTGAAGAGCCCATACAGTGGGGGTTTTTTTTTTCCATTAATGAGCAGAGGAATGTTGCCATCCCAGAAGCTTCTTGGAAAACCCACTAAGCGCAGCATAAAGTCCTGGGTATTAAAAGCCCTCACCTGCCAGTATTTTAATCCTTCCTGGCAAATGGAGGCTGGAGACAGTTCTCCTGCCCCTTGCCACCTTCACCTCCTACAGGAGTGGAGGAGCGGGTTGTGATCTGCAGGCAGGAGCCAGCAGATCTGCTTGCTGAGATTGTGCGGTGCTGGGCTGATGGGCTGGAGGTGGTTTAAGGTAGTTCCTGCAGACTGATGTTGCGTTCTCCATTGGGCCCGCTTTTGCCCTGCTCTAGAGGAGCAATAAGAGATGGCAAAGGCAGATGTAGATTATAGTTTCAATACATCTTCTTTTCCTGAAAGCAGTTACTTCCTTGGGGGGGGTGGGGTGTCTGTGAAACTCCTTTTCTAATGAGTCAAGAGTGTTTCTTTGCTCCAGAAACACCTGAGTTCATTGCTGTGTTTAATAGTCTGTCTCTTTCTCTCCCCATAGTCTTAGGAAAAGTCCTGAGTGCAGTGGGCAGTGCACAGTTACTAATGTCGCAGAAGTTCCAGCAATTCCACGGCCTCTGTGAACAAAACTTGGTGAGTCTGGATCTATTCCTCCTGGGTTTTGGGAGGGGGATGGATCTGCTTCAACAGCACTACAGGAACACTATCAGGTATTCACAGGCTACTGTCACTGTAAAAGCAAAGCCACTGCAGCTGTAGCTTACAGCCTGACCACTGTGCCACGATGGGTGAATGCTGGTTTAGAACAGCGGCTGAGCAGTGGGAGGCTGATCGCCTCCGCCTCTCTTCTGCATAGGCAGTTCTTGGGCTGTGCTCTGCTCAGGGATGAGTGCTTGCCATTCCTTTTGCTGCTTACATGAGCACAGGGGAATTTTCTTGACCTGCTGATCAGGGTGTGCTGAATACACCAAGGCTCTGTGGGTCTGAATTGTCAATCAGCCGTACTGCCCTGTGTCCTGGAAGCTGCCCCTTTCTGCTTTAAAGGGCTTTCTGAGGTGAACCACTGAGGTTTCGCCAGATAGGGGGGGATGTTTGAAAAGCCTTAGTGCTCTCGAGACATGCTTGCTTTGCATTTAGTTTATGTGGATATTAAAGCTGTCACGACAGGATTGTCCCTCACTGGTCCCAGAAAACTGTTTGAATCAGATCTCTTCAAAAGTAATGCGAGGTTTGCCTCGCCGAGAGCTGAACAGGGCTAACGTGGGGATGGGTGGGAATCAGTATTTTGCTTTTCCCCTCAAGCTTTATCATGGGTTGGATTTTGCAAACTTCCTTAGAGGTGAATTCCCCTTTACTTGCAAAAAACACTTGGGGAAGAGGAGGCAGCGAAGCGCTGAGCATCTGCTTGCTGAGCTCTGGCTGGTCACAGCTGGGAGATAAGCAGCAACACTACTTGCTGCCAGGCTTTCAGCAGAGCTTTGTGCTGAGGTCTCCCTTGGGCGCTTTGTGCTGAGGTGCTTGGGTCTGATCCCATGCTTTCCTCAGACAGTCCAGGGCTATGATGGCAGCGCAGATGTCTTAGAACTGGGAAAATCCTGTTCTTGGGAGAAACTTAAGCTACTTAAAATTTTCCAAGCCAGCCTGAGAAATACTCATACTTTCCGATTGTTTTGTGAGGGAACGTAGCAAAGAAATCTTGCTCATGGAAGCTCTGGCTTCTTTGGATTGCTGTACACTGGCATGCAAGTTGTCCCGGTGTCAGAGCTGTGCTTTGCGTCATGTTGTGTCCATTTCCATTATTACCCAACCTGTAATCAGGATGTCTGTGTAAGAAGCAGTCTTCTAGCTCTGAACTGCGTGCTGGAGACCTTCAGCTGGAGGTTACTGCTGTGGCATTCACACTAGCTGGGGGTGCTTTGGGGAGAACGCAGCTATTGCTTTCTGCTACAGAGGGTGTCTTTTGGGGGATTCTTCTTCAGGCCCGTAGAAGAGAAATACAGGCAGGATCTCCGCTTCCTGATCTGTGCAGAAATAGTTTTGACTGTAAATGATGGCATTGTGTCTTTGCGTGTTTAGGGCTGGTGTCTCCTGTGGGTTCTTGGTGTCTCAGTCGCCAGGCAGGTGGCCTTACAAGGGGTGAATATGTAAGCTGTGCAGGCTGCTCCGCTCATCAGGAGGGTATATTTTTTCTGAAAGGGTTTTTTTATGCTTTCCCTTCCAGAACCCTAATGCCAATCCCAGACCCACAGCCCAGGACCTAGCTGGGTTTTGGGATCTCCTGCAGTTGTCCATTGAAGACATCAGCATGAAGTTTGATGAGCTGTACCATCTGAAAGCTAATAGCTGGCAATTGACAGAGACACCAGAGAGAAAGGTGAGTGTGGGGCAGTTGAGAGCAGCCAGAGCACCTCGTGGACATTTGGGGTATCTGAGGCCTATTTCTGTTTGCAGACAGAAGATCTCTAGGGCTTTTACCATACTGCACGTGTGCAGTGTAATCTCACAGCCTTGCAGTGCACTGGGACTGTTCCTCTTGAGTAACGGTGGAAGCAATTTAGTACAAGGGGAAAAAGTGTTAGCGATGGAGGGAGAGCAGAGCGATGAGTGGTGTACGCTTAAAGCGGTGATGCAGAGGCCTCTAGTGTTCCAAGCGCTGTACGAATAGGTTTTAACTATTCTTGGTGTCTGAGCAGTATAAAAACCACCTACTGGAACCCCTTGAAAATGTGGCAGAGGCTGTGTCCCTGGGCCAGGCTTCCTGACTAGACATGAGGGTAGGAAGCAGGACTATGGCTCTGGGCCTATCTGGGTGGCATATTAACATTTCACAGTTCCAGATCAAGTTCAGTCTTCATGCTGTCTGTGCTGTGACCTATACCTGGGCCAGACATAGTCTGAAAACTCTAGCCTGCTTCACAGAAAGCCTCTGTACAACGAAATGCAAAATGGCATGTTTCTAGAAACTGGGGAAGCTGACTTTGAGCGTCTTGCTTGAGCTGCTCCTGCTTCTTTTACCTGACAGTCAAGTCTCATTGCTTCATGCCTCATGCCATGAGTGTCCCCACCATATCAGAGAGCAAGCTTCTGTATGTGCATTTTTATTTTATGTTTGGGTTTTTCCTTACTGTCTCCCTAAAGGAAGAGAAGAAACCACCCCCTCCAGTGCCAAAGAAGCCAGCCAAGTCCAAATCCCAACTGAACCGGGACAAAGCCTCTGATTCAGACAAGCAGCGCCAGGAAGCTCGCAAGCGTCTCATGGCAGCCAAGCGGGCAGCCTCTGTCCGGCAGAACTCAGCCACGGAGAGCGCAGATAGCATTGAGATCTACGTACCTGAGGCACAGACCCGCCTTTGAGCAAAGGGGCAGAGGAAGGAACCGTGTGGTTTTTATAAGTCATTAAAAAGGAAAAAAAAAAGGTTCTCTCTAAACTAGTGTGATTTATTCAGTCTAGAGACAATGAGCCATCCTTGAAAAGGGCTCCTGAGTTGGCTTTTTTCTCTCAGCTTTAAGTAATGAAGATTTTAAAAAAAAAAAAAAAATTACCCCTTGTTTTCTCACTGGCTGTGGTGTTGCTGAATGGACTGAACAGACTCCTGGAAACTCCAGCCCCTCAACTTGGAACTTCAGTCTTTTTACTTGTTCTATCTAATGAGAATTATTAGCTTGTTTACAAGAAGAGGACAAGAAAACATGAAGCCTTGAGCACTTGCCATGCTGTGTTCTTCCTCCTCCTCAGTTCTGTTCTTCCTTCTCATCCTTTATTTTTTTCCTCTTCCTGCTCCCTTTATATCCCACCTTTTGCATGGCTTTGTTTACCGTGTTAAAATAACCTCTCTTCCACAGAGCTCCTGAAGAGAACATCCATTCAGCGTGTACTACTGTTGCACTCTGCTAGCAAGCAGCCTTTCTTGGTTTTTTTTTTTTCCTTTTGATGGGGATATTGGGGGGTGGGGGGGAGGATGGGTGGGCAGGGACAGGGCTGTGGGTTTGTATTCCTGTTTTATTGAAGTGAGAGGATGACCGGGTCTGTGGAATGTAATGCAGAGTTGTTAAAATGCAGTCCAGAAGTGAATGTGCAATAAGCTGGCAAAGGGGGATGGCACAGTGCTTGGCTGGCTGATCCTGAGAGCACAGTGCCCTACTCCAGGCCCAGGAGGGGAGCTGAAGGACCACAGAGCAACTATGGGCACAATCCACACATGCTTCACTTTGATTTTTCTCCTCTTCCCTTTACGAAATCATTATCCTTGAATTGCTTGTTGAGAAAGAAGCTGCTACACTGGGGGACCTGTTTCAAAGTGGGCTGGGGAAGGGGAGGGCCGAGGCAAGTGTAACGGCATTTCAGGGTGGGAGGACTGGGTTTTGTACAAAGAGGAAGGCACAGGTAGCTGGTGGTAGGCTGCCTGCCTGCCTGTATGTATGTGTACATATGCACATATACACTTAGTAGTACCTGTACATTTAATTCATACACACGTATACATGCCCATACGCACAGTGCAGATGCTATACTAAAAGCACCTTGGTGAGAATGGGCATATGTATAGCATATATTTTTACATGTACTATATCTAGATGTGTGTAAAAGTGTGTGTAAAAATATATACCCTGTGTGGAATCAGATGACTATTTTTTCCTTATCTCCCTGCTCTCTGGGTAGAGGAAGGATTGCTAAATATTTTTTAGCCCATTTTCCTCTTTGTAGGTCTCCTTTTCAGTCTGGCTTCTTAAAGCCAGGACTTGCCACCACTGAATTCTTTGCCACCCCCTCAAAATAAGCATTTGGCCCCATCCTGAGTGATCTTGCTGGGGATTTTTTTTTTTCCTTCACTTGCTTGAATGAGTTAGGAAATTGTGTGTTACTTTCAGGGGGGTGGGGGTAGAAGCCCAAAAGTTTCAGCGAGGGTGTTGGTGATCCAGAAGGCAAAAAAATAAATAAAAGTGAAATCCTGAATGATGTCTGAGTGACCATTGTATGCTGTCCAGTGTTGTTCATGCATAGGTGCTCTTAGACATTTTGGCCCATCTACCACAGACTCAAAGGTGGATTTAGATTCCTGTCAGCACTTGGCCATCATGTAACTCAAATTCAATATTGTGGGTAGAAGCACTGACTTGTTGGGTTGCGTGTCAGCTGTTGGGGGAGGACTGTAAAGATGCAGTTTTAGAGATCTCTAGCATTGAAATTGGGAACACCAGGGAAAGGTGTTTTGGTTGGGGGGCTTGAAGTTTGTTTGGGTGGGTTTTTTTTAAAATTTACTCTTCTGAAAGTGGCTGAGGCTGCTGCTGGGGAGCTGGCCTGGAGAGCTGCCCTTCCTGGGCTGGCAGGCTGTGGGCAGCAGCCCCTTGCTGAGTTGTCAGATGATCTTCAACCCCCTGTGCTGAGATGCCTCTTTGTCCTCAGTTGTGCAGGGCCCTTGGGCTGTGCTTTGTGGGCTGCAGCCAGGACAGATGAAGCGGGGTGTTGATGCCAGCCATTTTGTGTGTGCGGGTCTCTGGGGTGAGGCCAGTAGCAGAGGCGAGTGTGTGTGCCTGCCCCACTCTCATTTTGTTTCTCTGCCACCTCAGAGGAGGAGAACTTAGAGCAGCAAGGAGAGCTGGCTGACTCACCACAACAGAAAAAAATAAGAAATAAACAAATGCAGTCTGCATTTCTAGCTGCCTGCAGTCTGTCTACCTCGTTATTCTCAGCAGGGGCACCCGTGACTGGTTTGCACTGGGCTGCGTCCTGGCAGGTGGGGCGAAGCTGGAAGCTGCTCGGTGGCACAGGGCTGACCCTCAACCCTGGTGGCCCTGCAAGATGGCTGATGGGGTGGAGCTGGTGAAGCGCTGCCCCCTCCTGCCACCTCATAGGTCACTTGCCTGGGAAGTTGTGCCCCCTGCCAGTGATGTAGTCTGTGGGGATTGGCTGGCAGGACCCCCACCCCCCCGTGGTTTACCTGGAAGTGCCTGGGATGGGCGGGCCCTTCCCCACCTTTTACCTATTTTATACCTGTGGGTTTATGGCGATAAGTATTTAGCCTCTACAGCTTTATAAATACACATCTATATAAATATATATGCGTGTATACAAATATAGAAGTACATATCTGAAAAATATGTATTTATACATATTTATACACTCCTTTAAATATATAATCCCATATATACATGCATTGACTATAAATGTATGTATTTTTATACCTGAGCGCCTCTGGGTCCAAAGGAAGGGGGCAGCCAATCATAGGGCTGCCTGAGAACACATGGATATGACTGGTGTCA